CAAGCCGGAGAAAACCCGCTTTTCGTCACACTTCATCACTGGGCTGTGAAAAAAAGCGTCAAAAAGATTCTCTGACTGGTCAGCGCTACAGGTTTTACGATGGCAAAGGCGTATAGGTTGGACTTCCGGCCGTTTTGGGGAGGTTGGGTTGATTTAGCCACACTTGATGTCTTGAGACATTCGATTTGGACACAAACGAGACTGAATAGGCAGTGACGACGAAGGGGGTGGGGAGTAGAAGATGACTGTCTCGATGTGATTTACGCCAATCAAAACAGATAAATCACATTACTACAGAGGCTGGTAACACAAACCACCATCGTTCTCACCCCCTTCCAACAGGCTCTGCTGGGTAGATAAGGGTCGGCCGGGATAAATTTATGGGGCATCAACAGGGGGGGCGGCGGTGGAGCGACTTCACGAGACGGGCCGGCAAGGGGACATGGACACATGCGAAGCTGAGGCGGCTGTTCTAATGTCGACGTGTCTGAGGCTTTTCTGTACAAAGGACGACAGATTAGACCGGCTACCAGCTAGGCCCCACTCTCGACCGAAATGACACCGAGGCTGGTCTGTACCCCTTTCACCTGTTCGTGATCACACTCTTGACGGCAGATCCACCCAGTCCTGGCACACAAGGACAACCCTCAACGCCACCTTCTTCAGCACAAACGCGGAATGTACTCGCTGCTGCTTTTCTTCTGCATTTACCCTATTTCAACTCATTAATCATAATCACAACTATGCTCATACTATGTGTAATACTCATTTATACAATCACAATAATTATTATAATCCACAACATAATCATAATCACATTCATGCTAATAATAATAAAATGTATAATGAAAATGATAGTGTCAAAACCCAATAATCACAATCATAGTGCCAAAATTACGACCATAACGACACAAATGAGAAAAACAAAATCTTACTCATACTTTTACACCGACTAATAATCATACCAATAATTAGTATCCCTATAATAATAATGTTTATAATGATAATTATATTGAAAGTGATAGTCTTAATCAAAATACTAAGCAATAATATAATTATAAAAAGTTTCATTGTACTAATGTCAGCCACATTAACCATAATAACAACAATATGTAATATAATTATCAAAATCATAATGAATCCTAATCATAAGCAACTTCATAGTCATTTCTATTGAGTAGTATTTGATAATATCAGTAGATCTTACAAAATGAATACGGTCTCCCTAAGTCAAATGGGATGTTAAAGGATTGACGGTTGAACCTCCCCCACAGTGATATAAATTAAACTTGGGTTGCAAATGAATTTTATTTGGCCTTGCCTTCCAAAATTTGTCCTCATTGAGGATAGAATGCAGTTTTGGCTTCACTCAGGTACAGTACAGCAGTACAGGTCTTTTTGAAAATCTACTGATGGAATCAAAATCTACTCACTATGAGTATAGGTGTAAAGATGAGTATGATGATGATTTCGTTACTTATATTAACTTTACTATGAGTTTGATAATGATGTGTAATGTGGTTATCATACTTTTTAATCAGATTCTCATGAGTACTTTGAAAATTAGTAGTAGTATGCTCCTATTTAAGATTGCGATAAAGACTATTATTTTAATCTTAATTATAACTATAGATATGATTAGTATCTTGATTATGATTATTTGTACGGGTATGAGTGTGATTAGGATTATGATGACAATAATAGTGATAATAAATATCCTCATTTGAGTGATTATGGTGATGATTATGACAGAGAGTATGAGGATGATCGTGATTAGGATTGTGAGTTTTGGCTAAAATTCCGATTAATACCAATTGCTCTGAGTAGCAACAAAGCTCATTGTGTTGTCTAAGCAGAAGCGAGCACATGGAATATCGATGCTGGATAGAGACAGGATGAGGTGGGAGTCAATGACATCCAAAGGCCTACTTATGTCATTGTCAAAAAACTCAAATTTTAGTCATTATAATCAGGTTAAGTAACCAAGAGTGACTAATTTATGCTTTGATTATGAATGTTAAAGGATAAAGCATATAATAACGAGCAAGCGAATATTAAGGATTGTGTTTATTGTTGTGAGAATGAGTTTGAGTATGATCATTATTATGCAAAATATAATAAT